CATCCATCATCTATCATCTATCTATCTATCTATCTATCTATCATCCATCTATCTGTCTATCCATCTATCTATCTTCTATCTATCATCTATCATCTATCTGTCATTCCTCTTTCTATCCATGCATATCATTAAATAATCCATTCTGACACAGAAACAGTAATGAGAGGATGAGAAGATTATCCTGTTTCTCCCCACACATTCTCAGTTGTATATAACTTCAAATGCACTGGCGAATAGCTTTGCACAGGTGTAATTGGATAGACCAGTGCATTAAGCTTTCTGACACATATAACTAGTAAAAAAAATTTCTTCTTATAGAATTTTTTTCCCTAGATGTTTGCTATGTGCCAGGCAATTCGACACCTGTTATGCTATTTATTTGGGTTCCAAAAAATGTGCTGTGTGTTGGGTGTGACTCTTCCCACAATAGTGAACAGAACTGAGACTGAGGTTAAGCTATTTCTCCAAGGTCCCCAGCTTGTAGGGAGCAAGCCTTGTGTTTCAATTTAAACCCCCAGGTCGGGGGCCCTTTATACTCCATTGCTTCTGCTCACCTAGTCTTGCCAACCTTGTGATGAGAAACCAGGACAAAAATATTGGATTATTATGGGATTCAAAATGCCAAGATAGAAATATTCAATTCTTTCAGAAATTACTGATCTTCATTCTTTGATCGGTCTTACAGGTATAGGTAGAGTAAGTAACTAGCACTTGGTGTCATTGAAATTGCCAGAGTTCTCCTCCCAAGTCCCTTGCCAGTGTTAGTCCTGAATACACAGAAGTGAGAAGTTATATTTACCTCATCTGTCACTCAAGGGCTTTGAGTATAGAATACTTCCTGGTTGTAGATTCCATGTGTTTGCATCTGTGTTAAATCTGACAGGTGTATAGATGTGTAATCCAGTATTTTGTGATAGCCATATTGTTGTTGTCAACATTTTGAGAAGCAGCCAGGAAAGCCTTTTATACCCTGAACAGTTTTAGGTGATGACAAAGGTTCTGTCCATGCTGTGAGAAAAGACCTGAGCTCAGGTTTGCCTGGGGATTCATAACCTGGCAGGGAAAATTTACTTTGTGGGGAAAGGTGGGCGTGTAAATCTCAGCTTGGTGCTTAATTGCTTTATAAATTCTAGGAGCAACTTGCCAGTGTAAAGATTTATAGCTGAGCAAAGAATTTCTAGTAGCTTCTTATGTTCTTGGTTGTGTTTTGTTTCCTAGGGAATCCTGAGACTCGTAATCAAAAGCTTGAATGGAAAATTTCCCTGTAGAAAATATTTGCTTATGAGCCCTCTCCCATTAGATAATTCCATATCTTTACAATGTATAAATAAATTGTGTTTACTTGTCTTAGCATTTCCTGGAAATAGTTGTTCATTTCACAGAATAGTTTATAGGTTTCCCTAGAGACTTTGGAACAGAGATTTGTCAAGAACTTATTTTTCCAGTCTTTGAAACTGTCAGCGTGAATGGCTGTGTGTGGGCAAATGACAGTAAAAGGTGAAATGTCACTAAAATGTGACTTTAAATTCCTCAAATACAGTACTTAGAAGATGAAAACTGGATTCTGTTACCTCGTTCAGCGAAACAACACCCGTGGGAAAAGAGGCAATTATTACTCCGATTTTACACATGAGAACAGAAGCTGATACTTTAGATTTGTGTAAATTAATTTTGAGTCCCAGGGTGACTTGTACCACTTAAATGGTGGCACCATTTCCTGAACTGAAATGTATTTGTGAATACAGTTTAAGACTGTAGAAAATATTAGACTGATTTTCTTATTCCCAGACACTAGTAAATCAATGAGAAGTGTTCAGCATTTAAAACCGAGGGAGAGGAGTGAGGTTACAGGTGGCGGTGGTGGTTGGGGATACAGTAGAGGCTCTGGTCGACTTAGACAAGAAAGCTCTGGGAGCTGGACTGGTTTGCAAGGACCTCTTTGTCCTGCATCCTCACCAGCACCATCACTAGTTATAAAGCATCTTCACCCTTCCTTTAGTGTTACTTACAACTTCTTAAAGGACACACTATTCCTCAACTATGCAGTGAGAACATACAGGTAGTGACCGGGAAGTAACTCTTCAGAAACTCTAGGAAAGGTGCTGGATTTTTATACTGTTCACTTTTGGGGATATACTGCCATAGAGCCTTTCCATTCATGGCCAGAATTCTGGTACTTGACAGTGAAAAGGGAAAACAAAAGAAGGCGTCTTGCCCTGTATTAGGGAGTAATAACTAATTGTGCTGTGTGTATAAAATACGTCAAATGATTGACATATGATTCAAGCTGTAATCACAGTATCACCACCAGCTTCGGGTTTTCTGAGGTCGTGGACCTCTTAGCCAGCCTGACTTGTTTATCTGTGTGTGAATGTTTAATGTTTAGATGTTATTGTAGAAGCTGAGGAGATGAAACGTTTGAATTCTTCTTTTCTGTGTTTATACGTTTGTCCATCTCATGTTTATTTCTTTAAAAATCTTTCTCTCAACTTTTTCAAACATTAAAATAATTCAAGTAGTTCCTAGAGTAAATTTCTGAATAGAAATTAAAGTGCTTCCTGTCTAAACCAATCCTTATTTCCAAAGAGTTAGTGCATTTGAGATTTGTATCGCACTAAGGAAATACCAAAGCCTGGATGGTGTAAACAGTGGACATTATTTTCTCACAGTTCTGGGGTCTGGGAGGCTAAGACAAGGGCCAACATGCTTGGAGATATGGTGAGGGATCCCTTCCTGGCTTACAGATGGCCACATTCTAGTTGGAGTTTCACATAGTAGATTAGAGTCCCCTTTTCTTATTAAGACACTAATCCTGTCTTAAGGGACCATCCTACAAAACTCACTTAACCCTAATCATCTTCCGAAGGTTCTCCAAATACTGTCACATTGGAGATTAAGTCTTTTGTATAAGAATTGGGGAGGATACAGATTCAATTCATAATTCTCTCTAATATTTCCTGTCTCTTCATGGCCATAGTCTTTCCTCTTGGTGAGAATCTGGTGGAGGAGGGAACAGTCATAGTGGATGATAGGCACATATAAAAGAGATCACTCTGAAAGTCCTCTGTTCGCTTATGGTTATTTATTCATTTGTAGAGATCAATTTCTTCATGCTTTCTACAGCTTTCCAGAAGTCACTTGCCAAAGCTTTGTATGGAGGGAGATCACCTCATTTTCTTGTAGATTTTTGACTACAGATGGAAGGGAACATATTTTTTAAAAGATTTTATTTATTATTTATATTTTATGTGTATTAAGTGCACCTGTGTCATGCAATGCCCGAGGAAGTCAGAAGAGGGCGCTGAATTCTCTGGAACTGGAGTTTCAGATGATTGGTAGCAGCCCTGTGGGTGCTGGGATTCGAACCAGGGTCTGGAAAAGGACACATTTTACTTGCTTATGACTTCCCCACAACCAGAAAACAGGATACGATGTGCACTGTTAAGTCACCTGCAGCACGAATCATTTTAAGGAAATGTTTTATGTCCCCTTAATGGAGCTGTTTATTGTCCATAAACTTGCTGGTGTGACTGGAGTAGCCATGACTCCTGAAACACAGGGGATGTTGTTCACTGTGGTTTGCATCTTGGAGGTGTTTCACCTTTACAGGTGGTAGAGCAGACTGGCCAAACTGCACTTTTGCCTTTGCAGAAAAGAGGGAGACTTGCACGGGTTCAGAGTCCACCTGTACTAGGTACTTTTCCCATTGCGGTAACAAAACACTTGACATGAACAACTTGAGGAAGGATGGAAAAAGGGTTTATTTTGTCTCACAGTTGAGTCCACAGTTCATCATGATGGGGTGGTATGGTGGCAGGGGCATGAGGCAGCTGGTCGCCATTGCCTTTGCAGTCCAGAGGCAGGGAGATGAATATTGTCGCTCAGCTAGCTTCCTCTTTTTTATTTAGTCTGGGACCCCCAGCCAATGGGATGCTGCTGCTCACATTATGGGCGGGTCTTTATAGTTAATGCAATTTAGAAACTCTTATACAGATGCCCAGAGGTTTGCCTTCTAGGTGACTGGAGATCCTGTTAGGGTGACAATCAATATTGCCCGTCACACTACCTTAAGGTTTACTGTCCTCAGAAAGATGACAAAGAATCATAAGCTTGATTGACAGGTGGAAGTTATCTAGAATATGGACTGCTCGTTCTGTTTGTCTCCATAGTGGAAGGAGAGCTGGCACATGGATGGAGGACTAGGGTCGGGGTGATGTGGTCAGTCTGTTCTCTAGGGCCAGTGTGTGTTAGTCAGGTCAGGAGGGCTCTGGCAACCGTTAGGGGTGTGGGTATCCTGGGCTTAGTTTGGCTAGTGCGGATCTAAACTAGACCACTGGGTTTTCACTTAAACTGATTTTGAGCACTTTTTCAACTACTTTTTTGTATCCCAGGAGCTCCCTTCCTGACTCAGAAATCAAATGGTTCATAACTGGTCAGGATGACAAAGCAAAAGTCCAAAAAAGCAGACCGAGCTTTTCCTTATTCTTGGCCTTTGTGTCTTCAGACTCTGTCCTTGGTTGGCCTTGACCTTGGAAATCCCCACATTTTGTAATTTGCTCCTTTTCACACCCCACCGAGGTTTGAGCTCCCCTGATGGCGGTTCTCTCTGATGGCAGAAAGGGCAGCTTTGCTCTTGTGAGGTGACAGCATATCGTGTTCTGCTTCGCATTCTCTTTGAACAGCTGCCTTGGTGTCCTTCAGACCTTGCTCTCTGGAGTCAAGTTTTCTCCCTCCACACTACGGTATTGATGCCATGCTCCTGGACCTGAACCATTAACCGTGTTCCATAGCACCTTCCTATGCTCAGGGAGCGACGCACAAGACTCTGAACTGGTCTCTTTGCCTACTTTGTGGGACTCTGCAACAACTCTCCCTCCACATGTCCCTCTCCCTTGTGGGGAAACCATGCATTCAGTCTCTGCAGAAATATTTATTGAGGCCATACTATATACACCGCAAAATGTTAGATGCTAACTTAGAAGAATCACATGTGTTTTTGTTCTGACATAAACATGTCAAATTGAGAGGAAAAAGAAATTCCACTAGAGGTAGAAATTTCCACATGAAATGCTAGAAAAGATTATAGACAAGTATAAGATATTTTGCCACAAATCACTCTTTGTGTAAAGACAGCAGTGTATGGGTAACGTGACTACCTCTAGCAGCATCATACACCAACTTTAATTATATCCCCCGAACACTACAGAAACTGCTAAAACAGAGGGGTTTCAGGCTCAAGGTGAGTTCATAAGCCAAAGGGATCCAAATATATAGCTTCATGCTAAAAAGCAGACATGCAAGAAATTAAAAATATAGCCCAGAAGTTTAATGTTGCCTTTTAAGTGTGCTTAAATTCATATCCATATCCTGTCTGTCTGTCTGAAGTAGCTGGGGTTGATATAGGGATGATATAAACACATCTACTTCCAGTGAGTGCTTCTGCAAATCTTGTTTTGATAAGGTCTTAAATCTGTTGTGATCGGGCCATAAAATTCCCCTGCAGGCTCAGCAATAGGTGAGAGCAGAGCTCAACAGTTATGTTTTTCCTTTTAATTTTGCATGCAGACGGTGTAACCTCAATGTGTAAATCTCTCTCCTCTCCCCCAAATGCCTGGGGGAAAATACAGGTGACATGTGGTGTATTCACAGCATTTCTAGTCTAAATATAAAACTCGGTTTGTAAATTTTGATTTACCTTTGAATTTTTTTATGACTTATACAGACTATTTTTAGCACATGTGGACTTTGAGATTTAGTGGAAAAAATATGTTGTAATAACTACAAATGCCAGACTAGAGTCATTTATAGTTTAGAAATTTATCAGAGAATAAAGTCCTCTATCAGCAGTTAGTATGTCTTTGGTGATACATGAGATCTTGGGCTGCCAATGACAGAAAGGCTTGCTTATGTGATTAATACCATTAAGTCACTTACAGAAGGCCCAGAAAATACATACAAATGTTCCCTGAGGAAGAGCCCTATTAAGTTTATTCTTCATTTCTGATAGCAGAATCCCAAGTTGCTCTTTAATTTCAGAGAATTCCTTCAGTAGGTGGCTGTTTATGGAAGTGTGGGCACTGACAGGTCTAAGCGTGCTGGGTATTCTGGAAGAACCGCCTGCCAGAACTGTAGTCTCTAACCTCTTCTGTGGTTTGCTGTTGCTACAGAACTCTATCCTTTGAAGATGACCTCTGAGTGGAAATGTGCTCTGGAAAAATCCCTAATTGCCGCTGTAGAGTTTCCTCTTCCAATGGAAGTATTTAAGGTAAGTTGGGAGTCTCCTCCGTTTAGCTGTTCTGATCCAGTATAAACTGTTGGAGGTCTGGGGAATGGCTTACTGGGTAAAGTCCTCATGTAAGTGCGAGGCCTTGAGCTTGGATTCTAGAATCCACATACACGCTGGATGCAGTCATGTATATCACACATCTATAATCCCATTCCTTCCCTGGCAAAATGGGAGGCAGAGACAGGAGAATGCGCTCACAGTCTCAGGCCAACTGACTTGGTGCATGGAGCGGCAAACGAGACACTGTCTTAGATAAGGTGGAAAGTGAGAACCAATACCCAGGGTTGTCCTCTGACTTGCACATGTGTACTGTGTCATGTGTGCACCCCCACTTACACACACACAAACTCTCACACACATCATATACATACAAACCTTTTTAAAAAGGAAAAAGTACTCTATATCAATTTCCATTTCACTATTAGGAAACTGCCAGCTTGGCCAATTTTCATTTTAAACGCTTCAATTTTGTCTGTTCCCTTTTGCTATTTTTAAAACAATTTTCATAAATATCCATGTTATAAGATGCTGATTAAAATATTTTTATTGATTTTTCTCTGTCGTGTAAGCTCTGTTTTAATCTCCTCATCCCCTACTGATACAACCAAAGACATTATATTAAATCTGATTTTTACTGTTTATTAAAAGTGATTGAAAATGGAAGGGCGGCAGTGGTGATCGCTCAGTTGGTCAAATGCTCACCTCATAGGCATGAGAACTTGAGTTTGATTCCTCTAGAACACGTTAAAAAAAAAAAAAAAGTGCACCAGAGAGGTGCATACTTGTAATCTTAGCACTGAGGAAGTAGACACATATAGATCCTGGGGACGGCTGGTCAGCCAGCCTAGCCAACTTGGTGAGTTCCAGACCAATGAGAGACTGTCTCTCACAAAAACAAGGTAGATGGCCCCAGAGGAACAGCAATGTGAGGTTGTCCTCTGGCTTGCATGTATACCTGCACATACACATAGACACATGCAGACACACAGGAGGAAAAAAGAGAGAGAAGGAAGGAAGGAAGGAAAGAAAGAAAGAAAGAGAAAGAAAGAAAGAAAGAAAGAAAGAAAGAAAGAAAGAAAGAAAGAAAGAAAGAAAAAGAAAGAAAGAAAGAAAGAACTGAAAATGACGTTTCTCCCCATGACTCACTTTTCTTGATGGCTGGAGAGGCTTGTTCGGAGTGTCTGCTACATATCAGGCCTTCTGCCAGGCCCTCCTACAGAGACAGAGTAGGAAATATATCCCAACTGAAATGGATTTCCATGTCCTTAACATTTCTACAACCACATTGCCAACTTATACCTCCCCATCCCTTTCTGAGAAGCCCAGGAGAGGGCCTTGGTCTTCTAGGGTGGGCTCTAGCGTATCTCCAGGGCTCTCACCATCCACGCTTATTAGGAGCCCTCGTTCATCCTTGCCTCCTGATGTAGCTGGCGTTCCTAGCTTTCGTCCCTTTTGAGGAGTCTGCGGTATTAACTGGGTTAGCTCTGGGCTTTTCTGCTGAGGACTTCATTATTCAGGTTTTGCTGAATTGGGTAAATTTGTTGCTTGTTTATCAGCTGTTTCATCTTCTATACCTTTGTGGCTCTGAGTGGGCTTATGTCTTAAAAACAAAGCAAATGAAACCTGTTGTACTATAGTTGTGCTTAGAGTTTAGGAGGACTTAAAAATTGAAGTAGGTTTTTGTTTGTTTATTTTTGTGTTTGACGCCTTAGCCTGCCAGGGCCATTTTTAAAACTGTTTGAATTTTTGTGCTCAGCAGAGCTTCAGCATCTTTCCTAGACCAGCCAAATTTGATGTGAGCTTGTGGTGCCTCCCCTTGTCCATGTTCTGTGATGAATTTTCTCTGGGTACCAGGCTACCTCCTTGGGAGTCTTTTCTATGTGCTTCTAATTCCAGTACCTGTTTTGGCCTTTCTGTTAAATTCCTACACATCCTCTCCTCTAATCTCAGATAGCAATTCTCTAACTTATTCTATACCTGGGCTCCTGGACCAGGTCCTGAGGCCAGATGAGACTCCATTCTGATAGGTTGGTAGTGTCCTTGTGTCACAGTGACATGTGACATGTAATCATTTGTTTGGTTCTGTGTGTTATATCGTCCCTTCTGACTTAACTAGAAGTTCCAGGAAGGAAAGGGCCATATGTTTACGGTTAGAAATGTAACTCCTAGCACTTAATAAATATTTATCAAATCAATGAACAGATTCTTGAATGGATCACACACATTTAACTCTCTGGATTTAAAAGTTCTGAGTTAATGTAACTGTAGAGCAATTGAATCTATAGCTATACTTAGAACTGCAAATTCTAAGACTTGAAAGTTAGAATCATTAATGATCTTGATCTATTTCTAATTAAAAAGTAACTGATTCATTAAATGTTTATCGAGAAGTTATTATCTACAAAAGGCTGTTATGTTCTGTTGATCTGATTCCAAGATTTAATTTAAGTTGGTCTCCGTTTTCCAAAATACAATTATCTTCTTCCCTTAAATTCATCCTGTGAGAATTCAGACTCTTATTTTGATATATTACCTGAAAATTGCCATCTTAATGTTTTGCTATAATTAAGCATTACTTTAAAAGCAGGTACTGGATAGTTCTTTTGGGCCCTAGCACAAGACAGGGTATATGGGGTAGGCAGTTAATAAATAAAAGTTGGTTATAGGCTAGGCATGGTGGTACATACCTTTGAGCCCAGCACTCAGGAGGCAGAGACAGGCATATCTCTGTGAGTTCGAGGCCAGCCTGGTCTACACAGTGAATTTCAGACCAGCTGCAGCTACAGGGAGAAATTGTCTCAAAAATACCAAAATAATAAATAAATAAAATAAATAAATAAATAAAACAAATAAAAGTTGGATACATTGAATATTTGTTAAAATTTGTAATCTGCTTTTATAAATGTGTTATTTCCATTTGATGGAAGGGAAATGGCAAGATGAATTCTGTTTGTATGGAGACTATATGAACAAATTTAATTTGTAGGTCATGAGAACTGTTTATCTGTTGTCTAAGGCTACTGTAACAAATTGCCATGGACTGGGTAACTTAAGATATTCGCTCTTATTTCTGGAGGCTACAATTCAAATCAGATTGTGAGCAAGTTCAGAACCCACCTGAAGGCTTTGAGGGAGAAACCCACTTAGGGACCTGTCTTAACTTCTGGGCGGCCACCTGCCGTCCCTGGAGTCCCTTGGATGGTGATGGTATCAGTCAGTTTTCAGCTCTATTTGTTCATCTTCAGGTGACCTCAGAGTCTCTATGTGTCTGTCCATGTTTCCCTAGACCAATAAGCACACCGGTCATTTGATTAGAGCCCATGCTAACCCAGAATGATCTCATTTGCAAAGACTGTTTCCAAATGATGTGCTCCATTCAAAAGTTCTAAGTGGGGAGTTCAACCCAGTACAACCACATTTCACACACATTCAGCAGTTTAAGAAATAAAACACTCCACTGAGTCCCTCTACTTAACATACAAGGAGGTAATTCTGTTGGGAGAAATTCCATGTATGTGATGAGGGCCAGACTATCTCTGTAGGTCCTTCCCTTATTAAAAAAAATAAATTTTATCTCTTACAGGTATTTTTAAGATCTGCAGGGCTCTAAAATAGTGGGGGGTGTATATGAGTGTGGATGTATATGTGTATATATGTGTGTACTTTCTGTGTGGTGGGTGGTATTTGTTTATGTACATGTTCATGTGTGCCTGTGTGTTCACACAGGTGCATGCATGTGTGCTTGTGCAAGTGTGTGCTGAGGACATAGATCAATGGTAATTACCTCTTTAGTTGCTCTCCACCTTGCTTTTTGAGGCAGAGTCTGTCTCTGAACTCAGTGCTCACTGATTTGGCGAGCTGGCCAACAAGCTCCCTCAAATCTTCCTGTCTCTGTTTCCAAAGCCACAGGGTTATAGGCTTATGCCATTATGCCTGGATTTTACCTGGGTATTGGGGATCCAAACAAGTCCTATGCTTGCATAGCAAGCACTTTACCAACAGGGCCACCTCTTCATCCCTGATGGGTTTTCATAGACATATAATAATAATGATAGCACACATATATGTCTATCTGTATCTATGCGTTTTCTCTTTTACAGCCCTTTGGTCATCAGTGTTTCCAAGTGGGCAGACTTACTTCTGTTTCTTTCATTACAGTACCAGGAATATATGTTTGAATTCAGCAGTAAATCATCTGTGATGTGTGTTGTTATGGAAAATTGCCATCATGTAACGCTATTATGAGACAGAAGTCAAAGCTAAGCACATTTAATGGCTAGAGACGAGCAGAATTTCCAGGGAGTTCTTTTTATTATTTTTACACTTTAGATAAAATGGGCACATTGATGGAATGCATCTCATTATGTTGCAACTCCTCACTTTGGGCCATGTATTCATGTCTGTTTCTCTCTACATGTAGTCAAGCCAAGTTCACAAGCTTTCTTTTCCCTCTACCTTGAGCAGAAGCAGTGTAAAAACAAGCTCATGGGTTGGTGTTTCTACTGTTATAACGTAGACAAAATTCTGAATGGATTTTAGATCCCCCATTTTTCAAGGAATTCTGACTTTCTTTGTTTGGAAAAGTAGAATCTTCTAAAGGTAAGCTTAATTGAAAGAAGAGTACGTGATGTTATGGGTTAAAAAAAACAGAGGGACGTTAGAAAACCTGCTTTATTGAAACATAACTGCTTTCTCCCTGAAAACCAGCCTTATTATTTAGAGGTAAAAAGATTTAGCAAAACAATCTCTAACTTGGTAGTAGTTCAGTCTTTAAAAATAACAAAGAGGGGCTGGACATGTAGCTCAGTTTTCAGAACACTTGCCTTGCGTGCACCAAGCCCAGTTCCCAGTGCTCCATAAACCTGATGAGGTAGTGCACACCTGTAATGCCAGCGCTTCGAAGGTGGAGACAGGAGGATAAAAAGTTCAAGCTATATAGCTATTTGAGGGTATCCTGGGCTACATGAGACCCTGTCTCA